CCTGGCACTCGTGTATTCTCACAATGAGCAATCCCCTCCCAAGCAGTCTTCACAGACTTTCTAGGGCTGAGCCCAACCGCTTGCACAGCCTATAACTTAACAAGCATGGCTCTCCTCTCCTGTCTCCCCAGCATCTGTTGAGAGATCAGCTCATCGGTCAGGCCTTTGTTTCTCTTCTTTTCAAACACCAGTAAAATTGTCCTTGAGGAGTTTTTCTGGGTCCATTTTAAAAGTCTTTTATCTACAAGACTGAGGATCTGCAAAAGGGACCCTATGTATGCTAGTGATATTACTTAAATTAGAAACCTTTTCACACACCAAGCGGAGTGTCCTGGTGACAGCTGAGTCAGGCCCATCCTTGCACCTTTCACACTTGGACCCAGGGCAGGAGCTCAGAGGTTAACCAAGTGTGGAGGCAGCGCATGTCTCACCTGGGAACAGCATTTGCTCTTTTCCTTCATGACCCAGAGGGAAACACAGGCAGGACCAGACACTAAGCCCACGTTCTCCCCGCATAGAGGAGTGACAGGTGGTAAGGCCAAGAGCAGACTTGGATGGTTTGGGGAGATGGGGTTGCAAGGGACTGAAAGCAGCAGAGTGGCTCACCTCCAGAGGGGGCGCTTCCCGTGAAGCACCTGCCACCACCCGTGGGTGCTCAGTTAACAGTGGACCTAAAACCAGACTTAACACGTTTAGCACTTGGCATTAAACTTTATTGGTGGTAGTTGTCGAGTTACAAATAATTATCACTATGTTGCATTTTGTAGAACATTGTCAGATGAGTTAATTCTTCTTTCTAGATAATCATTTATTCATTCAACAAATAAGCATACAGTACATAGAACCAGTGTTAGACTTTGGGATACGATGAGGAACCTATCATGATGAACAAATACCCTGCCCTTGTGCTACTTAGACCACACCACCAAAGGGCAAATAAGTTAGTCAATAAAGAAAAACTTCATAAATAAGAATTCAGTATGGTGCATTAAGAGTTGGAAAACAGCCTCAGAGCCTGGTGCACTGCACTGGGAAGGAGTGCTAAGGCGTAGGGGGAGAGTTGGCCCTCAGGGACAAGGCTTTGAGTGGGCTTCCCAGAAGGAAGGAAAGCAGGCAGGCAGTGGGAAAGAAGAATTTCAAGATGAAGCCACAGCTGTGGAGAAGCCCTATGGTGGGAAGCATCTGGTTCGGTGTAGAGCCACTCTGAAGGCCGAGGTCCCTGGAGCAGAATGAAGAGGGAGGAGAGGGCAATAGTCACAGCCGTAGAAGAGATGCGAGGTGTCCGAGGGGTGGGGGTCAGTTCTCCGACGGCCTGAGCGCTCACTTGGAAGGCTTCACTAAGCTCTGTGCTGACTCGCAGTCAGAGTGGCTGGACTACTGAGAGGATCAGTCTGTGGCTGTACAGGTGGATATGGGCAGGGCAGCCCTGGCACTGTTGGGAAATGGGTACAGCAAAGCAGGAGGGTGGGAATGCACACAGGACTGCAGCAGCCAGGGTTCACAGCTGGCTCCACTTTGGAGCCTTTCCCAAAGCAGAGCCATATGGCTGTCAGAACAGAGGAACTGGGGTGGAAAGTGGGATGTAGGACAGAGCAAAAGAGACACTTGGTCACAGCAGTGGAAAGCAAGGAGCTGTCCTGCACTCAGACACGAGCCTGGCTTGGTTGTCTCCTTCCCAGTAAGAAGGCTTCCTAGCATCTGTGAAGTGTCACCTCGGGCCAGCCCTTTCCGGTCCTTGGGGAAGAGGATCTATTGCTGGGGTGAAGTCCTTTGTTCACTCAGATCATGCACAAGGACAGCATGCTTGATCTGTAACATGCCCAGAAGAGGATTCGAGAGGGTGTCATTTCCTCTTTGTAAATCAGAGATAGTGAGGAAGAACCTGTGCATGGCCAATTAAACAGAAAGCAAGCTCTGCTGATAGCGTGATTAGAGATGAACGATGTCAGTCACAAAACTCTCTGAGGAAGAGAAAAGTATCTTGAACTTTAATGTAGAATTAAAGAGGAAGATGAAGGTTTTGGTAGATTATCAGGATAATAACTGGACTTGTCAACAATTCATGTTTGTTGGCATTTCAGAACTCCACATTTAAACATTTCTAGCAATTATTTACTAGCTAGGCATGGATGGCAGGAAAGTTAGCTTTCTTTAAGGGTTGCATTAGAAAGGCACAGAATATACTTTAAAAATAAATTGAATAGGGGCTAGAAAAAGGCTAAGTGGTTAAGAGCACTTGCTGCTCTTGCAGAGAACCTAGGTTCAGTTCCCAGCATCACACAGTTCACAACTGTCTGTAACTCCAGCTCCAGGGCATCCAGTGCCTCTAGCTTGTACATACTCCCCTGCCTTACTATAACTAAAAATAAAACAAATATTTAAAAACAAGTTAAATATTATGAATCATCATCTTTACATTGCATTTCAATAGCAGTTAAATTCAAACCTCTCATTTCAATAATGACCTCAGGTATTTCTATAACACTGCGAGGGGGCATCAGTGTCCACTACGGGAAGCACAGGCAGGCTGAACCTGGGAGAGAATGGTGGGGTCTTTTTGAGGTCTTACAACCAACACCCTGTGAAGAGGCAGAAAGCTAGCCTAGGTTATTTCCTTTCCACCAAGATTTCTTTCTCCTAGTGAGTGACAGAGCTCAAACAGGAGGTCTACCTTCAAGTCTGTTACTTAGTCTTTTGATCTTGAAAAAAGATCTTATCAACAGTCTGAGACATTCCTACTTGGTGTTGAAGATTGAATCCAAAGCCTTGAACCTGCTGGCCAAGTGCTCAGCGACTGAGCCATGTTCTCTGCCATTGGTCTTTTTGAGGTAGGACCTTCCTGTGGAGTCTAGGCTGGCTTACACATCCTGCCTCTGCCTTCCAGATGCTAGGATGAACCACCACACCAGAGCACAGAAGTGTTTCCTTTCAAAACTGAATCTGGAGGTGAAGGGAAAGGTCCAGGAATCAGGGATATTAGATTCAGAGTGAAGAATTTCATAATCATTGAGAACTGGTTACAAAATAAAGAGGAGAGGAACTGGAGAGTTGGCTCAGTGGTGGAGAGTGCATACTGCTCTTGTATGGGGCGGGTTGCGGCGTGGTGTGTGCGGGCACCCTGGGGTCTCCGCCACACCTGGCTAATCCCGGCATGAGTCTGGCCGCAAGCGATGTGGGGAGCGCGCCTGGGCTCCTGGGCGTACTCACTCTGGATGTGGCCCAGGGTCAGGTATGCATGCACTCTCCCGCCGTGGTTCTGGTCCCGCTGGCTAGCCGATGGCGGGCCTGGCCGGCCGCGCCTCTCTGGAGACGGCAGGTGCGCAGACTTCTCTGATGCTGGCTGTAGCTGATAGCTACACACTTTTCTGGAGCGGAGAGCTTCTTCTGCTACTAGAGTATTATCTAGTCGAGATCCCGCCTCTATTACACCCTTGTGCCCTTCCTCAGGATTGCGGAGTTCTGGCCAGTGAACTCCACAGGGAAGAAGCACGGAGGCGGCGAAAGCTGGGGTATCCGTGGGTCGGTAATGGAGAGTGCTGTTCTCCGGTGAGATAAGGTCTGAGATCAGGTCACTTGTAGTAAGACACAGGACTCAAGGCACGGCTTAGTCTGTGTTTACTGCTTTATTGTATCTCTGCTCCTTGCTGTCCAGCTCTCTGCTGATCCAGCTTTCTGGGACCCAGTCTCTGGCCTGATCTCCCAGTCTCTGGCCTGATCTCCGGGTCCCAGTCTCTGACCTGATCTCCGACTATTAAGAGAAGACTAGCATATTTATATACCATGGGGGTAGTGGTAAAAGCTTTTAGATACTTTGTGAGATATTCTATTTACATGTGGAAGTGGGTTTCTGCTAGACTATTGTCCACCTGTAAAAACCACACACAGGAAGGCATGGTATGCATAGAGCCAAAGGCCATGTTTATGTCAAGGCATCTGTGGTGGCCACTTCAAAGGGAGAGACAGGAAAGATGCCAGAAAGCACCTTGCTATGAAAAGGAGCCCGCGGCACATTCCCGAGCTGCATGAGCTGTCCGTTGTGAAGGGGCTTCGACTTTTGCATAACAGAGGTCTCCCAACACTCTTGCAGAGGACTTGAGTCTGTCCCCAGCACCCACATCGGGTGGCTCTCAACCCCCCTATAACTTCAGATCCAGGGGGGTCTGATGCCCTCTCCTGGTCTCTGTGAGTACCTGCATGCATGTAACGTATATATACACACAAAGAAACCCTAAAACTGAATCTTAAGAACAGTAACAAAAGGTTAATGGCTATAATGCCAGTAAGTACAAACGTATAAAGGAATGATTCTGAATATATTAATCCAGAAGGAAATATAAAATTAAGCAATGAGATGTAAAGATTGAGAAAAAGGCAGGGGAGGGGGGATGACAATGGATGAACCTGAGAAAGGGAAACAAAGAGGTGGCTAGGATCTAGAATTACAGATCTTTCTGGAATAACATGATTATTTCCAACCAACTGAAGAATGTCCATTTCTAAGCCAGGCATGGTGGTGCACACTGTCATCTCAAGCGCCCAGGAGGCAGGAGGATTGGGAGTTGGAGGATGGCCTTGGCTATCTAGGGAGGCTCTGTCCCTAGCACAAAACAAAATGAAGATGCTACTTTTAAATCCCATTATGTAGAGTTTAAAGAGTGAAGGGATAATTTCTTTGACTGAGAGGTGGTTACTATAAAGGTCCATCGGGAAAACTCGAAGAGCCTCTGGCCACAGGATCTGAAGAGCCCGCTCCACCTCCAAAGTCGCTTGCCCCTGGCATCCGTCCACACGTCAGCACCCACGTCTTCTCAGAAGCACCCATGGGAGAATGTCCACTGACAGGCCTGCAGAACCGCCCACAGCAGCGCGGGAAGCAGAGGCGGCCATGCCCTCTCCCACCCGGACCCAGGGCCGCGCCCTCTCCCACCCGGACCCAGGGCCGCGCCCTCTCCCACCCGGACCCAGGGCCGCGCCCTCTCCCACCTGGACCCAGGGCGCAGCTAGGGCTCCTGGTCCCCGGCCGGGTTCCCGGGGGCCGCGTCCGTCACGGGTGGCAGGGTGAGCGGGGTCGTGTCGCAGACGAAGAAGTAGGGCCGGAGAACGCCCTCGAAGAGCTGGCGGAAAGTGTAGATGCAGCACCCGGCGGTGACGTCGTAGAGCGAGATCTCGCCCGCCTGGTCGTCCACGAAGAAGCCGACGCGGCGCTGCCTGTCGTGCTACAGCGCGGGCGCGGACGGCGAGCACAGCACCATGTAGTCGGCGCCCCTGAGCAGCCACATGGCCCAGACGCCATCCTCCGGGGCCGGTGTGGTCTCGCCCTTCCTCCGCACCGAGTCCCAGCACACCCCGAGCCCCCACTCGGCCCGCCGCCCCACCGCTACCTCCCAGTAGTGCCGCCCCGACGAGAAGCCCTGCAGCCCCAGGACGCACGGCCACGTGTCGAAGCGCTCGGGGTTCCCGGGCACGTCCTTCCACAGCTCCCCGTCCTGCACCAAGTGCAGGTCCGCGGTCAGCAGGAGGCTGGGATGCGCGGTGGTGGGGTCCAGCTTCACGTCCACTGCGGAAGGAAGATTGTGGAGCGCGTGAAGGGCGGGGGCGGAGGGGCCCTTTAATCGGCGCCTTCCATCCAGCCCGCGGGAGGCAGAGGCAGGCGGATCTCGGACTGAGGCCAGCCTGGTCCATATAGCGAGTCCCAGGCCAGCTGTGGCTACAGGGAGACCTTGTTCCTCAAAAAGACCCAAAACCAAACAAACAAAGCAAAAACAGCCAACCAGAAATTCCCCTCCCCTAAGCCCTACGAATAAACACAGCCAAGAAGGTGAAAGGCCTCTACAAAGAAAACTTTAAAACACCGAAGAAAGAACTTGAACAGGGCTAGAAGATGCAAAGACCTCCTGTGCTCATTACTATAGTGAAAGTGACCGTGTTACATAAAACTCCACAGATTCAATGCCATCCCCGTCAAAATTCCAACAGAAATCTTCTTGGAAGTAGGTTATAAAGACGGCAAGGAAGGGGACAAGAGAGGAAAATGGGAGGGAAACAGAAATGTAGAGCTGGGCGTGGTGGCGCATGCCTTTAGTCCCAGCCCTTGGGTGGCAGAGACAGGCACATCTCTATGAGATGGAGGTCAGCCTGGTATAAGTTTTAGGTCAGCTGTGGCTACAGGGAAATCCTGTCTCAAAAAACAGAACTAAACAAAAATGTTGAAAAGCTCATATCAGAACCTAGATTTAAATATCTAATTATCCATTTATCGATATCAAGAATCTTTATCCATCTATCATCTATCTATTGGCTATCTATTGATCTATTTATCATCTATCAATCATCTATCTACCTATTATTTATCAATCGTATCTTCTCACCTGTATATCATTTATCTATCTATCTATCTATCTATCTATCTATCTATCATCTATCTATCACCTATCTATCATCTTTCTATCAACTATCTATCATCTATCTATCATCTATCTATCTACCTATCATCTATTATCCATCCATCATCTATCTATCCATCATCTATCTACCTATCATCTATCTATCATCTCTGTCTATCTATCTATCTATCATCTATCCATCATCTATCTACCTATATCTATCATCTATCTATCTATCTATCTATCTATCACCTATCTATCATCTTTCTATCAACTATCTATCATCTATCTATCATCTATCTATCTACCTATCATCTATTATCCATCCATCGTCTATCTATCCATCATCTATCTACCTATCATCTATCTATCTATCATCTATCTATCCATCATCTATCTACCTATATCTATCATCTATCTATCTATCTATCTATCTATCACCTATCTATCTCTATCCATCTACCTATCATCTATCATCTATCCATCCATCATCTATCTATCTATCTATCTATCTTTCTAACATCTATCATCTGTCTATCATTTATCTATCTACATATCATCTATTATCTATCCATCCATCATCTATCTATCTATCTGTCATCTATCTTCTATCTATCTATCTATCTATCTATCTATCTATCTATCTAT